TATGCTTAATTACAATTTACTGTTTATCTAAATTTATATAGATAAATATATATAATTGCTTATTTATGACCAAAACAGAAGAAAAAATGAACCCATTACATTATTTGAGTTAGAAATGTACCTAAAGATGCATTTGGGCCCAAAATCTAATCTGACCCAGCCCCAGCCCGCAGTCATAATTTCCTAAACCCACCCAACCCGACGAATTAACGGTAATTGCAGGTTCAAACCCGGAAAAAAAACAAAAAAAGACCAAAACATTTTTATTTAGTTATTAATGGTCGGGGACGCGCAGCTGAATAAAAGCGGCATAAGATTCGGAGCTGAGAGGCGTTTGTCCTTTCATGGCCATAAAACAGCATTTGAACCCTGTTTCTGACTGCATTCTTCTGAATTACTGAGACATGCGGACAGCTCTTTTTCTGTTTTGTGTTTGGGTTAGAAATGACAGCTCTATGCTTAATTGCAATTTACTGTTTATCTAAAATAAGTTTGTCAAAAATAAAAGAATGATATAAAAACATGGATGTTCCTGTTTATCATGTTTTTTGTTTTTTACTCTAGGGTTCTTCTGAAATAGAAGAACTGACTGGATATACCAGTGGTAATCAACAGGTGTGGCTACCTGTCGGCCATCTTGGATTCAGAGGAAATTCTCCTGCAGCTACGACTGACCACTGAGTGAAGCTCAATGGAGTGAAGCAGCAGAGAGCACTCTGGTGGCTAATATGTAGTTTCATCTTAAAAAACGATGAAGAGCTGTCCACTGTAGTGACCACTACACACTCTCAGGTTTCAGACTAATCTCAGAATTCTTCTGCATGAGCATCATTCAAGTGAACGTTGTCTGAAAACGTTGGATTTTAATGATTTTTGGAGACGCCGAGTCCCTGAAGTGTCAGTTTTATTTATGGAAGAGCAGACGGTGAGTAGAAAAAAATCATTATTTTGATTTTTCTCTTTTTTTTTTTTTAAATCAAAATGGTAAATTTGCTTATGGATGCTTGTTACAGTGCGATGCAATTGAGTAAATACACATCACTGTCCAGCTTTAAATGTAACTCGCCAAAATGCAAGTAATGCATAATTTTGTTCGGCTTTGCTGAGTGTATTATGTTTTTGTATTAGTATTAATATGTACTTACTAAAAAAAAAAACTGTAAAGGGCAAAATTTTAATTTATTGGCTCATTTTTATTAAAATTAAAGAGTATTTTTGCAGTAAACAAATGCTGTACTACATTTTAACTTTACACTGATTTCTCACAAGGTGAACGTGAAAAACTATTACACCTATTGGCCACTCCTTTTTTTCCCCTTACTATCCTTGAAATTCTTTATTCAGTGTGATGGCAATGATTTACTTCCTCTTTCTATTCTTTGCAGATTGACAGTGACATCATTGCTGCTGTGGATGATGGAGCCCTGGAAAACTACATCTTTTTTTGTCCGAGACCATATTGCACTCCTAGTTTCTCCTCTCAGAGAAAGAAAAGATCTCAATAATGTCAGAGTTGGATGATCTAATCAGACTGTACTTCAGACCATCTTTCAGCTACAGAGAAATAGTGGAAATGTTTTTTTAATGTTGACCACAAATGTTTAGCAGAGCTCCTTTATCAAATTAAAACAATTCTCATGCACATCTGGCCGGTTTGGTCTCAATAATTCAAGTTGAACTTTGAGCAATAAAAACTAACAAAACATATTAGTAATTAATGTTAACAGAATACATGACCAATAAAATTTGTGTATTCAAAAATCATCATGTGCAACAATTCCTAATGGTAACAAAGACTCTACTACATCAACCAATTCTGTAAATCACATTCTCAAATATCTTGATAACGTTTTAGTATAAATATACAGAACAAACACCATCTCCAGCAGCACTGGAGCACAGTTGTTGTTAAGAGACTAATGTTCAGGTGTCAGTGCTTTACCTGTTGTCTCTTCTCAAATTCCAGTTTAATTGGAGACTTGATGCAGTTGCAGGTGTCCTGGTAGGTCTGTTTTAGAGCCAGCTCCATGAGGTGTTTATGGTACGCCCCAGCCATGTTGCCACACACAAAAATGATGACGTTGGCCAAAATCTGTGAAGGTACCAAAAAAAAAAAAAAACAGATAGTGCCAAAACTGTTAAACAAAAAAAAAATCTAATCATAAATAAAGTTCTATATTGCAGATAAAAACACTTAAACTGTACTTCATAAACCTTGCTGCAATACTGTCATGAACTTGATCATTTGACAAACTAAACTTGCAAAGTTTGAGATAGAGAAATATGAAATTAAATCTTAAATTTATTTTTTTTAATTAAAAACAATTGTCCATTATTTTTCAAATGCCATGTCTCAACTTTTATGAATAAATTTAAGCTCAATTTATAAAACAGTTGTGACTCAAGTCAAAATATCCACCTGAATGTGATCATCAGGGCAAAGTTGCACTGACAATGGTAATTTCCTAGTTTTCATCCATAGAAATCTAAAAATGCAAATTTTAAAACCAATAAGCTGAAAGCAGAAAAACATGCATTAGCAGCAAGCCCTCAGTAACATACACAGAGATAACACACACATGGACCCTACAACAAGAGACCCTGCAGCTTTGATGTGGGACAGGAATACATAATCACTCAACATGCTTGATGTGTCACCTTTCTGTATATATGGTGAAGGTAATTTTCCCTCATATCTTATATTTTGTTTTTAAAATGTAAATCTTTAGGTTTGAACACAATGGCATTTGTTAAAGAGTGTAAATGAAAATAATTTCAAACGTTTTGATAGCTTTAGGAAAAGCTGAGAGCTACAAAACTTTGTGTTGATTCTTCCTCCAAAATGTTAGACTACCACTACACCTCCCTCACAAAGGAAGGTCATTGGGGTGTTTACCTCCTTCCCCTCCCTCCTGAGGGTCTTTGTTTAGGTCGTTTTCACACCTGATAGTCCGGTAGACTTGGTTCAATTGAGGACCAAAATTCAGAACATTTGTTACATTTTCAGCTGGTGCGGTTTGCAGTCACACTGCACTGAATCCATTGAGCCAGCCTGTTCCGCCCCTCGCCTGAGGTGACGTTGCACCAAAAACTACTGAAGGAAACAACACGAAAACCTCTGAAGAAGACACTTCTTTAAATAAAACCAAAAATGGAGTGACATCAAATTTGAGCAGTTTTAGGATTTCTGTTCGGTCATTTTTCAACAATGGACTCGGCATAAGCGGAAGATGAGACAGAAGACCATGGAGAATGTTGTTTTTCACACAAGGAGGCTGACGGCTCCGTATGAGGTAAGAGAAAAGCGTGTTTGTTTTCTTTTGCGCTGTAGTCCACTTCCTGCTTTTGGAGCGGTCTCTGGTCTGCTTGCATTCACACCGCATTCGAAGCGCTCTAGAGTTCACCTCAACCGGACCGTGACTTAGGTTTTTAGGCAGACCAGAGTTCGCTTGTTTGGTTCGCATCAGAGTTCGATTGCGCATTCACACCTCCCTAAATGAACCGGACTTTCTATGCAAACGGACTAGAGTTTGATTAAAGCGGACTAAACAGAGCTGGTGTGAACGCACCCTTAGCCTGGATCACAGATGTTTTGGTCATGTTCAAGTAGATGTTACAAAAGAGCGTTAGGGCCATGCTAAAAAAAATAAAAAATAAATTACATTGCCACACTAAGGAAAAAAAATTAAAAGCCATAAAATGATGTGAATAAAGTCATATATTTACGAGAATAACTAGAATAAAGTCTTAATATTATGGGAATAAAGACTTTTTTTTTTTTTTTACAGCTGTCATTAAATTAATTTTTTTCCACGAGTCGGATTCACAATGCGACCTGTCAATCAATCCAATAGGCGTGTCAGCAAATGACCAATCTGAAGCTAAATGAGTCGTAATATTATCCCAACTCCGACATGATGAAGCAGGTTTACCGTATTTTAACTGTGGCAAAATGAAGAATGTTTGTTAAACTTTATTGTTATTGACGCTCTTACTCAAAATGTGTTCAATACTGCCACCTGCTATTGTGTTTTTGTATGCTGCTTCTGGGATGCAAATATGTGACGTCATTACATCATGACCTTCGTTTTTGTTTCCGTTTAAAAATGGCACTCAGTGAGCAAAACTGTGTAATAATCTGTTAGCACATTAGCATCAGATTATTATCAATATCGGGACTTAGAACCTGCTTACAGTAAGGTGGTACGCTCCAGCTCCCTGCAAGTAAGGAGCATTTAGCTTTAGATTGGTAATTTGCTGACACACCTACTGGATTGATTGACAGCTGTAAAAAATAAAATCTCGTACGACTTTATTCTTGTAATTCTACGACTTTATTATCGTAATTTTATGGCTTTTAATTGTTTTTCTTAGCGTGGCAATGTAATTTTTTTCTTTCTTTTTTTTGAGCTCCATCGTAACATGTGAATTTGAGTGGAACTGAAAAGAAATCTGGCTTGATGCTGTGCTGAAGGTTTAGGAAAGATGAAATCTTGGATCTTATCTGCTCTCCTTTGATGCTGAAATGCTGCTTACACAATTACAGGGCAACCTTTAGAGATGTAAACGGATTGCAATTGGGATTGGACTCAGGTGATGAACCTTTCCACCATTAAACTATTGTAGACAGAGTTTGCTGGAGACCACCCATGATGCACTGCTAGAGGTTTTTCATTCTGCCACAAGTGTCTGATGAAAACAAAACGGTTGGTTTTCTAAGACGCACTTTAATTTTCAGATTTGCTTAAGCCCACAGTTAAAGAGTGTGTGTCATAAAAGGCAGAAGTTATTGATTTTTATGTAGTTTTTTTTTTTATGGCTATGTGAAGGTAGATCATTTAAAATGTTCACTATTCTCTGTAAGTACTTTCTCTCTCTACATGTCCTGTGTGCGGTCAGTGTCGTGGGACCACAGGCAGTAAGAGATGCAGGCCAAGAGATGTAACTGTGAGTCATCTGTTGACCTTTGCTGCCAACTTTCATCCCTGTGGTTAAGAAGCTAACATTATCTGACTGGTAAGCTACAAAGGAAAAACACAACATGATAGGTTTAGATTTATCACATGCTGTCAAAAGGAAAAAGGTGGATGATGAAGTTTTTGCCTTTGTGTGTTTGTCTCTCGGGTTATCAAAATACCCCATGAACCACTGGAAAATTTCACAAAATATCTTAAAAAGTAATTACTGGAAGCAAAGCTACAACCGATTCCCTTCTGGAGTCAACCCCATTCAAGTAGGCCACCACAGCTATTTGACCATGCATCACTATTCACTTAGTCTCAACTGTGATTATGCTTTCTCCACAATGGCGAGGTGAGCTAAAACACACGTTTCAACACTTTTGATACCAATCCATTTTAAAACAAACAAAAATAAAAAAGTTCAACCAAACTACATTTATGCATGAAAACACTTCAAACTGTTATACAAATATGTTAATTTATCAGGAGACTCTCTCAAAACAAGTTGCAATTATTACTGAAATAATACTGAACTAATACTGACAATTCATTAAACTACACTATCTATTGCTATTGACAAGAGGATTTTCCACTTTCTAAACAGACGTATTTAGCTTCAATATTCCATTAATGTATTCATCTTGTATTTATATTTAACAAAATTAAGCACCTGGACTAAGGCCAAGTAGTTGGGTATGGTTCACTGGCTGGGTTTATGGTCACGCCCGTTCTCTCCATCTGGGCCCAATGTCTCCTTTTACAGTTTACTAAATGTTATGTCTGATCATTTTCAGTTACTGTTTCCAAATTCTAATACACCTAAAACAGGATCATCTAACTTCAAATGTAAAACTGATTAGTCAGAATTCACAGTAACCCAATATTGTAGTACAGTGGAGTTCAAATGAATACAAAAGCTAACTGAAACAAAGAAAAAAGATCAAAAGCTTTACCATCATCTTTGTAAGTTTTCATCAAATACTCTAGACAACACGTATATTGTACACAACATTGCAGAGTGTACCCAGATTTAAGGTCTAGAACACAGTTTTTAATCTGTTTTGCTGCCATTTTATTCTATCTTCCTTAGTCTGCCGGCAGTTTGCACAAAAGGTCAGAGGCTTAAATTGATCAATTTTAAGAGTTAAGTTTAGTGTTTTCATTATCATGTTTGTCTCTTTTTTTAATACTGCAGTCTGACCATATAATCAAGTACAATAATCTTTTGAGTTTACGCTACAGTTTATATTTGCTCTGAAATTACCTTTAAAATCTGTAATTAGAAGTAGTTTAATAGACAGGAATATAAAGAGATGCAACTCAGTGCAAAAAGGGAGGTAGCTAAGGCAACGCAGAAGGTGTATGATGAGTTGTATGGGAGGCTGGACACTAAAGAGGGCGAGAAGGACTTGTACTGATTGAGGAGACAGAGGGATCAGGCTGGAAAGTGTCTGCAGCAGGTTAGGCTTGTTAAAAATAGGAATGGTAATGATATAACAAGTAAGGAGGATGGGAAGATAGAAGGAGTATCTTGAGGAGCTAATGAATGAAGAAAAAAGGAAAAGAAGAATAGAGGTTATACTGTGAATCAGGAAGTGGGAAGATTAGTGAGGGTGAAATTCAGAAAGCTCTGAAAAGAATGAAGATGGGCAAGACAGTAGGAACTGAAGACATACCTGTGGATGTATGGAAATGTCTTGGAGATGAAATTGAGTTTGTTTTTTTTGTTTTGTTTTTTTAAACTATTATTCAGTGACATATTTGAGATTGAGAAAATCCCTGAGGAATTCATTCAACCTTTATTTATACAGGGTAGTCTCATTGAGTCATGAGGGCTCAGGTTTAAGTGAGACCAGTTTTAGGCAAATAATAAAAATGGAGAAGTGTGTTGGTGGCCATTTTTAAAAACAAGGGTGATATACAGAGTTAAAGCAACCACAAGGGAATTATTTTAAGCCACACAATAAAAATCTGAGAAAGAGTTGTGGAAGATAGACTTAGACAAGTGACAATTTGTGAGCAGCAGTATGGTTTATTGCCAAGAAAGAGCACCATAGATGCCATCTGTTCTTTGAAGATTATGATGGAGAAGTACAGGGAGGGTCAGAAACAACTTTATTGCGTCTTTGTG